ACTAAGCACTAAGAGAACTACAATTTCACAATACAAACCTTTGATTGACAAGATTATGGAAAAAGTTATCCCTTGGACAACAAAGTTTCTTTCTTATGCTGGGAGACTCCAATTGATTAAATTTGTTCTACTATCTGTCCAAGTCTATTGGTCTCAAATCTTTATTTTACCCAAGCAAGTGGTCCAACAGATTGTGTCGTTATGCGGAAGATTTTTATGGACAGGTGGTGTTGATATGTCAAGGAAAACTCTAGTGGCTTGGGCGGATATATGTTTACCAAAGGTTGCTGGAGGAATGAATGTCCATGTTACACCTCGTAGTTTAGTAGACCATCTAAGGCTAAGTTTGACGGCTACGAGTCTTGACTAGAGGGCATGAGCCAAGGCAAGGGGGCAAGGATCAAGACAAGAGACAAGGCTGCCCAAGCTTGCCATGGCACTACCTTGGACCACGAGAGCCTATACGGATTTTGGTGGCCACTACGGATTGTGGTGCCACCCGTGGTGGTGAGGCAAAGAACCCCCAAGGCTGCCCAATATTGGCCTCCTCCACACGAGCCACTTCACGGCTTGTGAAGGCCTAGACGGCTCATGGGAGTGACTATGGTCTTGCCTTCACCATGTGAGGGTTAAGTTAAGGTGCCATAGCTACTGGTTAAGGGACCACGGGCACCTTCACGGGCCATGGTACCCTTGACGGATCGTGAGGGTGGCCGTAGTGCCTTGCACTAGGCTGCCTAAGGAGGGTCATTTTAGGAAATTCCTAATTAGGTTGTTATTAAGTGAGGTCATTTTGTATGGACCTAGTACCCCTATATAAGCTATTTTAACCCTTTTAACCACCCTAATTAAGTCATTATTTCCCAAAACCCAAATCAAACCCCAAAGCTCTCCTCTCAAATATTTCTCTCTCTAAGACTTGAGAGATATAGCTTGAAGCGTAGGTCAAGAACAAGACTCCATTGTTGCAAGCTTTGTAAGACTTTGTATCCAAGATATGTTATCTTATTCATCCATGGACCTCCCTAGAATTCCCAAATTTGATGAAGAAAATCTTCAATTCTAGTTAGGGTTTCTTCAAGGTTGTGGGCTATGTTGAACGTTGACCCAATTGAGTGGGTATTGATTGTTTATGATTAATTAGTAGTGAATCATGATATTATGATGAAATTATATGTTTTCCATGGTTAACCCTAGTCTAATTGATGAAATTGAAGAATGTGGGTTTGTGCCTTGTGAAGTGAAATTGAGGATTCATAAGTGATCTTCTAGAATTGATGATATGTATAGTAATTGTTCAAGAATAGAATCATGTGAACATGAATTGAATTAGAATGTAGTATATATGATGGATCATGACTAGTAATGATTGAGATTGAGTCTTTATGATGACATATGACTATAATTGCTTAAAGATGAAGCTTGTGACTAGAATGTCTCGTGATCTAGGTATGAATGATGATTATAAGAGGTAAAGCTTTGAGAGTAAGGCTTGTAGTCAAGAATGTTGATCACTAGGGTTTGATAGTAAAGCTAATATGATGAATTGTGTATGTTTAGGCTTTAAGAGTAAAATCTACATGAGAATAGAAGATTAAAGGATAGAATTGTGGTGAAAGGCCTATACTCACCTAATCTACCTTATGAGTGCTTGAGTGCTTAAAGTGATAGAATCACTTGAACATAGATTGATTGTCAAGGACATCCTTCTATGAGACATGAATGTTAAGTAATGTTTAATAACTAACCTAAGGGATGTATGCTTGGCCCCAAATGGATATTGACAATGAAATGGAGAGTCACACAAGGTGGGGTCCGGGCTCCAAGTTGAAAGGAGAACCGCACCTAGTTGATGTGAGGACTATCCAAGTTAAACGGGGAACTCTCACATAGTAGAGTCTGGGTTTTCCCAAAGTTAGGTCTCATGAGATAGAAGCCTTTACCTAGTAAAGTTCGGGTTTCTAGTAGCAATCTCTGTATCCGAAGAACTAAGACGTACTTGAAAAGGTATCTCCAAGTGTTCAAAAGCAATAATGAACTTAGACATGCTTGAGAAGTATCTCCTAGGGTTCAAATTAATTAGGAACTAAGAGTATTCTCAAGGGAGTGTTTCATAGTGTTTCAAGGTTTATAGAGGGGGGACTAGTCTCCAACTAAGAAGTATGAGTATGATGAACTAAAGGAATACTTAGTATGGATAGGATTTATAGGGTCTTATCCATGCATTGCACAAGTATGACTTAAGGTTACCTAAGAAGTGCTTCTCTTATAGGATGTGTGTGTTGATGGATTGTTGTTATAGTTGCCTTCCATGATATGATTGTCTAAAGGTGAAAGATTCCCTTGTCCATGAGACGTAAGCTAAAGGATGAGATCAAATATGAAAAGAGGTATGATGGCCTAAAAGTGGTACTTAGCCTAGGTGGGATTATGGGGTCTCATCTATGCATTGCACATGTATGACTTGAAGGTTACTTAGAAGTTTCTCTTATGTTATGAGGGACTAAGTATGGACTATGCTTATGAATATGTGGTATCTCCTATATTGTTGGATTATGCTTTATGAGGACTAATCCTTATATGATGTCTATGTTGGAGATTATGATTATGATTATGTTATTCTCTCTTATGGTTATGACTTATGTTTCATGTTGGCTAACCCTTGTGTTATGCTCTTATGATGTTATGCTAGCTTACATATTTAGTACATTTTGTACCAACGCATACTCTTGCCTACATTCTTATCAAATGTAGGGTCCGGCGACTTTGAGTGCCATTCTTGAGGATAGGTTCCTAGAAGTGCAAAGGAGTTGAAGATTTGGTGATTCCTCATAGCATCGAGGATAAAGCCACCATTACCTTTATGTCTTTCTTTTATGTTTTAGACTATTGTATGGGTTGTGTCGCAAGAGTTGTTCAAAGTTGTATTAGATGGTTTGAGACAAAGAGTTAAAGACTTCCGCTTGCTTTTATAAAGACTTCGATTGTAAAGAAAAGTTTTAAAATCTCCGTATCATTTCTATGTACTTTATGTTATGATATGCTAAGTGGCTTACATGGAGTCCTTCGGGGTTCTATGTGCCATGTTACATCTAGGGTGTACCCCTGGGTCGTGATAGTCCAGGACGTCCATACCTGGAGTAAGGCTGCCATTGCAAGACTATTGTGGAATCTATGTAAGAAAAAAGATAGATTATGGGTACAATGGGTGCATAGTTACTATATAAAGGGAAGAGGAATATGGGATGTGCAGACTCCTCAAGCGTCTTGGGTTATTCAAAAAATCCCGAATGCTAAAGAAACATTGAATGATGCGGCATATGATGAGGTTTCAATACTGCAAATGGAGTGCTTCTCTATTAAAAGCATTTATGGAAAGTTGAGAGGGGACATTCAAAAAGTGCAATGGAGACGGATCATGTGTATTAATTTGGGAGCTTCTAAATGGTGTTTCATCTTATATTTGGCTATTAAAAATAGATTGCTCACATGAAACAGGTTGGCCAGGTGGATGACGGTAGCGGACAAGAAATGCCCCTTATGTTGCGATGTGGATGAATCAATCGAACATCTATTCTTCCTATGCTCATATGCAGCAACTGTATGGGAAAAACTACTAATGTGGCAAGGGATCAGAAGAAGAACTATGGGATGGACAGGGGAGCTTCACTGGGCTAGTACACATGTAAATAGTGGTAGCGTAGCTGCAGATCTCTACAGGCTCTCCTTGGCATGTTGTATCTATGCTTTGTGGCATGAGAGGAATGTAAGGATCTTTCAAAATCAGAAAACTGAAGCTAATATTCTGTTGAGAAGAGTGGTCCAAGAGATACATTAAAGAGGTACAATATATAGTAGGCTAAAGAGGATGTTAGAGAGCTTGAATTACTATCCTAATTAGCTTGTTCTTGCTAGTATTTACATAGTACTGCTTGTATAGGATAGAAGAAGAAGTCAGCTTGGAGCATGTAGACATGGGGTTGTCCATTGCCTGCCAGTTTTTCTTTTTTGCTTTGTAATTATCACTTGGTAGTAATAAAATCTTTACTTATCAAAAAAATATTTACCAAGAAAGATAAAAAAGAATGATAAAATAAAATCTAAATAGCAAAATAAATGATAAATATTAGAAGAGAAAAAAAGGGTTTTGGAGATGAGTTTGAGATTTCTTTAAGAAAATATTATTTGCAATAAAAAATGACGTGGCAATTTATATTTGATGTGGATAGTGATGTGTTATCCACATCAATGTGATTGAGAGACACACATGATCAGAGGAGCTTAAATAAGTATTCAATTAACAAAGACGTGAGTAGAAGGGTTTAGGTGACAAATAAAACCACGTACAAAGGTCTTCAAAGTCATTCCACCAAAAGAATTTTAGCGAGATAAAACTAGGGGCTACACTGAATGCTTTTTAGCACGACACTATATGACAAAAACTTAATTAAAAATTACACAGTAGCTAGCTAGTTTGCTATTAATCATTCCATTCCCTATATATACATTCCTTTTCCTATCAACCCATTTCCCAAAAACAAGCAAATTCAACTTCAGATTAAATATTGTTTTCCTTCCAAAAAAAAACATCCTTTTCTTTTTGTTACAATAATGGCCGCAGAATTTCAAGCAAATGGTGTGTTTTTTCCTCAAGAGGAGTTCAGGAAAAAGCATGTCACTTTTCTAAAATTCATCAGCCATTAGAGTAACAAAAAATAAAACTTTTTAAAGGAAAATAGTAGGGAAGATGAGTTAATTAGAAAAGGGAGAAGGGGAAGGGGTATATATAGGAAATGAAAATGGTTCATAGAAAACTAGCTATCTAGTGTGTAATTTTTTATTAAGTTTTCATCATATTATGTCATACTAAAAAGCATTCAATGTGGGTTCCATTTTTATCTCTCTAAAACTCTTTCTCTTTCTAAATATATCAGACTAGAGATGGAGAGTTAAAAGTCACTACCAACTGATCATCTGTAATGCATGCGGATAAGTAGGATTTATGCATATTGTAGAGTTGAATCTAATTTGCAAGGATAAATCTGTACATATGAAATGATCGTGTGATAGTGTATGGTGTAAAAATGTGAGATTTCAGTAAAACAATGCAATGCACGCATACCCTGATAACCAGAGATTCCAGTGTTCCTTCCAAGGATTACAGGGAACGTTTTACCCATTTCCATTTGAGCTTCCAATTCGGTTCCTTCAATTTTTCTGAAGTCGTTCCATAAAGTGAGCAGAAATTGGTTTTGTCTGAAAGTAGGAGCAATACATTAATACCATTTTTTTCTCGAATCTATAGTAAGATTGTGTCAAAATTTGAAAACATAAATAGCAATGTATAACACGGAAGGAAGGTTCTACTTACTGATCATCAGCAATAGTAACCTCATGACACCTATTTTGAGTGCGGCCTACATATTTTGAAGGGCTACAACGGAGAACAACTCCTAAAATATCTGGTAGAAATAAAGAAATATGAGGTTGTTACATGTGGGGACATAAATTTTAGCTAACTAATGGTTGATAGGAGGGATATACCAATTTCTGCACTAGGACCTGAAGTCATATGAGCAATAGTTGCAAAAGTTGTGGTTTGTAGCTTGGTCGGTGTTAACACTGATTTCTTAAGCTCGTTATCTGGTTCGACATGTTCAATTAGAGCTTCTTTATCGAACTTTTCTCTCCAAACTTAGTTGGTTTCGACTCATGTCCACAATTTGGACTTTGCAAGTCCAATCAAGAGTGTCAATAGTTATTCCGCCAATATTCAATCTTGGTGTCATATGTCTTTATCTTCACAATGAGAGCCACAACAGTTAGAGTTTTTTTGAAATCGTAAACGCTCTGTAATGGTAAGGCACACATGCATGGATAAATTTTGTAAATTTTTTAACTTTAGAGTTTCTATGAGTGTACCATTACATAAGGGAACAAAGTTCATTACAACATACTATCAAACACCTTTTGTACAATACAGAGAGGACACAATAACAACACTTACATGCAATAGAAACTAACAAATCAAAAAAACGAAAGGAAAAGGAAAAGATCGAAAAATATATTTAGTACTATAATTCTACACAAAAGAAACAACGAAGCTGAAACATCAAAGAAGAAACAACAAAGAAGTGTGCATGAGCAGAACAAAGTTCATTATAACATACCATCAAACACCTTTTGTACAATATTACATGCAATAGAAATTAACAAATTAACAAATTAAAAAAATGAAAGCAAGAGCAAAAGACCGAAAAATATAGTTAGTACTGCAATTCTTCAAAGAAGTTGAAATATCAAAGAAGAAACAACAAAGAAGTGTGCATGAGCAGAACAAACAAAAGAAAAGATTCACAGAAGTACAATCAACAAAGAATTGCATAAAAAGAAAAAAAATAAAAGGACCCAAAAGATGCAATCCAATGAAAGCAACAAAGGGAAAATAAAAAATCCACCAATTTGAATCTTCAAGGAGAGGAGCTACATAATTTAGTTGAGAGAAGGACTGATGGTTCACTTTTGATTTGAGTATATATGCAAAGGAAATAGCTACAACGTACACACAAATATAAATCTTCCACGTGCTCAACATCCAATAAAACAAGGCCAAAATGAGTCCTACATTAGAAGGGATCAATTATAGATTTTATATATGAAGGTACAAATACGTAATGATAAAGGTACAAACACTTAATGCCATGATAGTTGTAAAAAGGTACAAACACCTAATTCTAAAGGTACAAAAACTTAATGTCATGTTAGTCCTAACTCTTGTTGGCTTATATAAAATGGTAATACTTTTGTATGTGCATGGATTTTACGAATTTTCCCTGCACCAACTTTTCATATTTATATACATAATGTAGTTGTATACAAGTCTATTTATCAGCATGTTTGGATAGATTTTTGGTTTTTTTAATTTGTAAGTCATAAGTTAGAAATTTCAACTTCTGATTTTTGATTTATTTTTTCATTTTAGCTTAAAATTAGGGGCTTATAAAAAAAAATTAATTTTATTCGAACACTTTAAAAGTGCTTAAGCTATTTTGCCTTTAAAAAATCAATCAAACATGCTCTAACTATAGAATAACGTTATAGTATTTTTACACTATGATATGGTTTGGATGAGTCATAATGACATCCTTTACATTTTAGAAATTTTACTGCCTAACATTTTCAAAAATGAATTATATTATAGAATAGCATTTTAGTATTTTTACACAATGAATTTATATTTTGATGTTTGGTTAGTAAAATATTTTATCTCTAACAGCATTTTGAATATAATTATGAAAATACTATGAGACCGAACCCATAACAACATCCTTTAACCCAAACCTCTAACCTCAACCACACCACATAACTTGATCCTCAACCTGATCACGCCCTAACCTAAGACTCAACCATCGATACCAACCATGATCCAAGACCTGACAGTGACTTTAGACTTAGCCTTGAATCGAGGTTAAAGACCCGACTCTGAACTAGGATGTGTCATTGATAGCGACTTAGGGTCATGCTGGATCAGGTCATCTCAAGATTGAATCTTAAGTCAGGAGTTAGGGAGTCGAATCCCAAGTCAAGATTAGAAATCAAGAGTTCATCTCGAGCTTGGGGTTAGGATGAGGAAGTCACGATTGGGAGTTGGGTTCCTAGTTGGGATCATGATCAAGAGTCGAGTCTCAAGTCGAGGAAGGTTGCAATATAATAGATTTTCACACTTGATTAGAAATGAGGGTGAATCAATTAAAAGAAAATTTCACCAAATTTCTTAAACTAGATGATTCTATGTCACATATTAAGAAAAAAAAAATTAAATCAAGAAAATAAAAAAGGAAAATTAAATTAGTGTTACGTAATTTTTTTTGAGGTTGGGGGGTTGGAGATGGGAAACAAAGATTACAAGAATTTTTAAGTTAAGATTTTCAAATTTGAGACTAACATAGAGCATGTTAAAAATGAACAAGAAAGTGAGGACACATAATAGGAAGAAAATAAAATATACCGTATTAAGAAAAAATTTAGTAGCTCATGAGTTGACTAACTACTTGAATTTTTGTGTTGTTGATAAGAGCTATTTTGTAATCCCCTCCCTTGTTTATTTTTTCAGTAATAAAAAAGTAATATTAAAATAAATCATATAAACATGAAACAAACTAATCAACATTCAGAGAGGAAATATATATTGTTACCTCATTTTACTAATATATAAATAGTTTCACCCATGTTTCGTGATATCTTCATCTCCTTTCCTTTTTAGATCAACATTTGACGAAAACTCCTCTTGAATATTTGTGTTTTTAATACAAATTTTATTTTAAAATGGATAAGGGAGAAAAGAGAGAGTGAAAAGGAATTGGGAAGTAAGAATATATGGATTCAGACAAATAAATCAGGAAATGAAGAAGTTTGTTAGGATTTGCAGGATGAAAGGGAGCGAAAGAGGAGAGTTGGGGGCGGCCAGAGAAAATAGAAATGAATTAGGATTTTGAAAATAATTGTGGGGGTTAAATAATTAAGAGTTTGAATCATCTAGTTAAATAGAATGAATGTCGGATATAGTGTCAAAATTCAACTATTTAGTGTCACGTTGCTTCAAACTACTGCGGTGTTGATTGTTTTTCGTGCAGCAAATTACAAACTTCATCATTACTCATCAGCGTATTTTAAAGGAAAAATTGTATATAATAGCAAACTATTAATTCAAATTAAATGTTATAAATATAGTTTGATTTAATTGTACCTCATAGCAAACTGTTGCTATTTCACCTCTCTCCTGGTGAATCTCGCTTGCCACTCTCGTTCTCTCCCTCGCCTCTCTCGTTTTCTATACAAACGCAAGTGTATAAAGTGCGTTTGTGTTTGTATAAAACGAGAGAAAATTGTATATATACATATATTTTCGTTCCCTCTCTCAGATCTCGCTCTCTCACTCGGCTCTCTCACTTTATACAAAAAACGCAAATTGTATAAAATGAGTTTGTGTTTGTATAAAGCGAGAGAAAATTGTATATATACATATATTTTCGTTCCCCTCTCTCAGATCCCGCTCTCTCACTCGGCTCTCTCACTTTATACAAAAAACGCAAATTGTATAAAATGAGTTTGTGTTTGTATAAAGCGAGAGAAAATTGTATATATACATATATTTTCGTTCCCCTCTCTCCCCTCCCCCAGATCTCGCTCGCTCACTCACTTGTCTCACTTTATACAATTGATCTTTTTGTATATGTATACCAAAACAGATTATACAACTGCTTTCTTTTGTATATGTATAGCGAAATATACATATTTATGTTTGCTATGGAGCGCAATTATGCAAACTTTGCTATAGCATACAAATATGAATTTTGTGTTTACTATATGTGAAAGTTGCTCTATTTTAAATTTGATAAACACTGTTATCACCAAATTGTCTACTATACAACTCATACCTCACGAGTAACACACAAAGAAAGAGTAAAAACAAATATACAACACGATAAATAAGACTTGGGATGTCAAATAGTGTGACTTGATTTTGGGGGTGTTAAATGGCAGGACTTCAATTGAATTTGGACGGATTAAAATTACAGACAGATCTATATAGTGGGTTTGGGGCTGTCAAATGGCGTGATTTGAATTATATTTTAACGAATATATATAATGAATTTGGGGGTAGCACGATATTTGAATGTTTGGCTAAAATTTATTATAGATACTCGTATTTTAAATTAAAATATTGATATAATAAAAAAGTGAAATTCGAAGTAACAAAATTACTATGAATGTCATAGCGAAGGTGTCAAGTTTACTTACAAGAGAGCTCTGTACATGTGAATTAAATTTACATATCAATTAGGAAATTAGGATCAATACAAACATTCCAACTAAAAACTTAAGTAAACTAAAAAATCTTATGAGAAAAAACATTAGACAACGACTTAATATTTTGTAAACATCAAAAGACGGTCTAAATTTTTATCAGTATGTAAGAAAATTAATTTCACGATAGCTATATATGTAAGAAAATCTAAAAATATACTACGTATTGGAGGTTCCTCAAGACTTGAGTAGTAAGTGTTACTTACAAGACAAGAAGTGATGGGAATTGAAGAAACTATTATGAGAAGAATAATGTGTGTTGTTGTTATTTCTTTTGAATTACATCCAGAACTAGATGTGCATCTTAGTTCATCTAGAACAGGCTCTCGGACTATATACAATCAGGGGAGGAGCTACAGCCATCCACCCTTTGCCGGAAAATTACACCATATACAGAGGCCAGATTCTGAATTTAAGGGATAAATAATTAATGTTGAACATCCTTAATATAAACTCTTTTGTTGGCACATAGTGGTTAAGCGTGCTCATTTTCCACATGGAGTTTGCGGGTTCGAATCCACAGAATCCACAACCTTTTTTTGGTTTTATTTTGAGAGAAGAACACAACCTTACACACACCATTATCCTTGCATCATACATTTATTAATTTTAATTTACCTGAAATTCTTAAATGTTCCTCAAGTTTCTTAATTATTAATATTGCAATTTAAATAATATACAGTAACATATATGAATATATCATTTTAATTTTGAAATTTGTATATTTAGATGTCATGTATTTCTAACTTTATCTAGGATATAATGCACTTTCGAAGGATGGAAAAAAAAATCCAACATTTTACATTAAAAAATTGTGTTTATATGTTAACAACTTTAAACCCAAAGCTAAAATTGATACATGCGTTTTAACTTCTTCTTCTTTTAAGAAAAAAAAAATCCTTTGCTGGTGTGATTTATGTTTCGTAAAGCTAGACGCATTTGTTCAATCAGTAATTCAATTTATACACAATAATCATATATTTTTATCATATAAAATCAATACATCAAAAAGAAAAAAACATGATTGCTTGTTTTTTATATTGACAAACGTTGGGATCGTTCATGGTAAACTTCCTAGGCTAAACAAAGGCGGAATGACCTGAAAGACCCTTGTATTTGGCTCCG